TACTCATTTACTACGTAAGATCGAAGCGGGAGAGGTTTCGCGCTCGTTATCACCGCTCAATTGCGAAATGTGTGTGTGGGTGTTTCAAGCCCCTTTGATCAATCGCGTTTCAAAATTTCAATATCCCTCCCAACAAACACTACTTCACCGGCGCCGGCAGGACGTTTCCGTGCGCCCATGATCGACTGGTACTACATCATTCACCGTTGTTCTGGTACTCCGGATGCTTCGCGGAACCATCGAGTGTCGTTTCGCGAACCTGCTCTCGTGTCCGATGGCGATAGATAGTGGACGACAATCGCCAGGCTGGGCGTACTCACACAAACCAGGCGAGGTCAAATTTTGTCGATCGGGGCGCTACAAAATGAGGTGCCCTCGAAAACAGGAATTGTGCGGTAAGTTCATCACTTTTTCTTCAGTTTTCAAATGTGGATGTGAAAATGTTGGCCTTTGATCTGCGCACGAACAAAGAGAACATTCCGTGTCTCCAAATGAAGCGGTCGCGGCAAACAACCCTGTTGAGCCATTCTTCTCATACATTCATCTCATTTTCTCTTGAAATCCGTTGAGTCAGTTATTTTCCCCACGAACGAAATTATTATTTCTAGCAGGAGGTCGACAGAGAAACGACTAGCGTGTTGGTAACACCCAATCCCTCCAATACAACCGCAAATTCGTTTCCCGGAGAATGTGCACGATGGGCGACGAAGTCAAACCACACACGAATCGCAGCAGAGATTCAGACCGAGCACAACACAATCTGTCCAATCGTACTTTCAGCATATCGCTTTTTAGTTTCAGCAGAACACTCTTCACCGACCTCAAGCGGACGGGATTCCAACCATCGAAGCAAGTGACTGTCAGAAATGTTTCGAGTTGGGCGCAAGTCTTCAAATTTCGGCGTATCGATGATTGTTGTTTTCGCCCTCGTCAGAGAAAACTTTGGCGCCTAAAAACAAAAACAGATTTCCGTCACCGAGTATCATTTCGCGAACCTGCCCCCCTCTCGAGGGCGATGATAATAGACGACAGTCACGTTGGGCGTCCTCACACAAACCAGGCGATTCCAAATTTGTCAATGGCAACGCTCGAAAAAAATGCAGCACTCGAAAACAAATGCGGTCATTCGAGTTTTATAAAATGGCCTCGTCGCCATTATCATTCGGATAATGATGTCTATAGGGATCTGGAAGATTAGTCTTTGATTTTCGTACGAACAGAAAAAACGTCCCGCACTCTTCCGAAGGAGGCGCGGACAACGGCACCGGAATTGTCCCCCTCCTGCTGTACTTTGCCTTCGATTTTTAATGCGACAAGAGTTCAGCACTCGCTTCCCTCTGTGTACACACGAACTAACGCTATCCATTAGGCCAGGAGCGGAAGCGAGAGAAAACTCACTTTGCAAGAAAAGCTCGCTTTACGCCGGGATTCGAACCCCTGACCTGACTGACCTCTTGAAGGCTTCGAGGATACCAACTAGACCACCGGGGCGACCGTGTTGGCAACAGTCACTCCCTCCAATATATCCGGCAATAAATTCGCTTACCGGAGAACTGCACGTCGTGCCATGAAATCAATCCACACACACACACGAATCGCCCGAGATACAGACCATAGACAACACACTCTGTCCAATTGCGGTTTTCAGGTATTAGCTGGTCACATTTAATCGACTTTAAGCCGGACGGGATACCAGCTATCCAAGCGAATGACCGTCAGAAATAGTTCAAGCCGATCACAAGTCTTCCAATTTCGGCTTAGCACTGATGGTTTCTTCCCCTCCGTCAACAAACGACTTATTCGCCAAAAAACGCAAAACAACCTCTTGCCACCAAACATTAACCGCCGTATGGCCTTGCCGCCAAACTGTATCCGCCATGTTCTGGTTTTGCCCAACTCGTGGTGGCCTAAAAACGCGAAACCGCCTCTTCCCAAAAAATGGTCGACGGGTTCAGGGCATTCCCGGCAAAAACTACTCGAAAGAAGGCAGAACAATATAAAGAAAGCAACCCTCCTCAGACTACAGGTAGGTGAACGGTCGATGTGCGCAAATCATATAAGAGTGCGTGGGGGGTGAGTGAAAGATCAAGAAAGATTGAGAGCCCCGAAAGATGTGGGGAGGGCAATTTAGCCCCGCAAAGGAGAACCGAAGGCAGGGAAGAGCACATTTTGCCGCCTATGCACAGGACGAGAAGGTTCAGCCCCATGGAGATTGGAGATCATTCCTTTCGACAGGAGGCGTCAAAATGCTGAGGATGGGACACCTTGCTTGAAGGCATCATCTGCAGACTGTTTCATCATGCTGAACAAGAATCGGCATCGTCTGCTGACTGGTACACAGAAGAACCGCTACCTGGAACTCCAGACGAGGAGCTCTTAAAAAATCCGTTGCAGGTCGCAGGAGGCTTGATAGTGATGAGGAAGGACAAATGACGTCATCTGCATACTGCACCAAATGAAAAGAAGCTTGGGAATCGTATCTTTGCAGGTCTCACGCGGCGTCCTAATCTTTATGAAGGGGAGTTTTTAATTACAGCATCTGCAGTCTACACCGCAGGACCAACGAAAAGCTTCATCTGGTATCATGAGGACAAATAATCGACATCGTCTGCCCACTGGGGCACAGAACCTCTACCTGGAACGCGGAACGCGTATCTTGAATATCAGTCGCTGCAGGTTGCAGGAGGCGTGGACATGTTAAGGAACTGAAAATAAAGTAATCTGCAAACCACACCACAGGACAAGCAGCTTCGAGACGAATCATTGCAGGTCGCAGGCGGCGTCCTAACGTTGAGTAAAGAACACCTCAAGGACATGAACTACACCGCAAGAAAAACCGTAAGTTCCATCCGATTTGGACATGTCGAGAAAGGAGAAAGGCGTAATCTGCCTACTGGAACACAGGAGGACCACTGCCTGTTTTTCAGGACGACTACCTGGAACGCAAACCCACTACCTGGAACCCAAACCGACTACCTGGAACGCAAATCGACTATCATCTACCTGGAACGCAGAACGACCACTACCTAGAGCACATAAACCCCTGCACGTCGCAGGTGGCGTGGTGTCATCTGCACACCGCACCACAAGACAGAAGTCTTGGGAAATCATTCTTTCCAGGTTCCAGGGGGGGTCATTACGTTGAGGAACGAAGACCTCAAGGACGGCATCTGCAGACTACACCATAGGACGAACGAAAAGGCTTCCTCCGGCATCATGAGGACCAAAAATTGACATCGTCTGCCTACTGGAGCACAGAACCACTGCCAGAAACGCGGACCGTGAAGCTTGTATATTTACTGTTGCAGGTCGCAGGAGGCGTGATCATGTCGGGGACAGGAAAGAACGGCATCTGCAAACTGCATCATCACAAGTCAAGAAGCTTGGACACCAATCTTTGCAGGTTGCAGGGGGGAAAACAACGTGGAGAAAGGAAAAATCAAGGACATGGAATAATCTGCAGACTACACCGCAGGACGAACGCAATGCTCCATTTGAAACTCGAGAAACAAAACGCATCGTCCGCCTGCCAGAATACAAAACCAACTGAAACGCAACGACTACTCTCTGGAACGCAGACCGACTACTACCTGGAATGCAGACCGACAACTAACTGGGACGCACACTGAGAATCTTCTAATATAAAACCCGTTCCAGATCGCGGTGGCTGATGATGTTGAAGAAAAGATAAGGACGTCATCTGCAAACTGCACCACAAGCACAAGGAGCTTCGAGATGAACATTTGTAGGTCGCGGCGCGTCATGATGTTGAGGAAGGAAACCTTCATGGACATCAACTACACCGCAAGACGAACCACAACCTCCATCTGAGTTGGTCATGGCAAGAAAGCGAAAAGACACAATCTACCTGCTAGAACGCACGACCACTACCGGGAACTCAGACCGACTACCTGGAAGGCAAACCGACTACCTGGCACGCAACCCGACTACTACCTGAAACGAAAAACCACCCTGTAGTATATAAACTGTTGCAGGTCGCAGGTGGCGTGATGATGTGGAAGAAGGGAAATGATGTCATCTGCAAACCGCATCGCAAGACAGGAGTCTTGGGAAATCATTGTTTCCAGATTGCAGGGGACGTCATTACGTTGATGGGGAAAACCTCAAGGACAGGATCTGCAGACTGCACCGCAGGACGAACGAAAATGATTCATCAAGCATCATGAGTACCAAAAATTGACATCGTCTGCTTACCGGAACCGAAAACCGCTACCTGGAACGCAGACCGACCACTACCTGGAACGCAGACCGACTATTAACTGGATCGCATACCGACTACAGTACGTGGAACACGAGAAGCTCGTTAATTATTCGTTGCAGGTCGCAGGTGTCGGGGATGATGTTGAGGAAAGAAACGTACGTCAACTGCAACCAGCACCACAAGACAAGCAGCTTGGGAAAGGAACCTTTGCTTGTCGCAGGGGGTGTCACTAAGTTGAAGGAGGAAAACCTCAAGGATGGCATCTGCAGACTACAACGTAGGACAAACGAAAATGCTTCATCCGGCATCATGAGGACCAAAAATTGACGTCGTCTTCCTACTGGAACACAGAACAACTTCCTGGAACAGGGACAGTGATACTTGTATATGAATCGTTGCAGGTCGCAGGAGGCGTGATCATTGAGGAGGGGAAAAGAACATCATCTGCAAACTGCATTATCATACGACAAGAAGTTTGGAAACCAATCTTTGCAGGTTGTGGGGGGCAAAAGGGCGCCGAGGAAGGAAGCTCAAGAACTTAATCTGCAGACTGTTCCGGCCGGACGTCCCGACCGGTTCTTAATACGATGATGGATACTTCGCTATGGTCGCGAAGTATCCGGAGGGCGCAGGCTGTCATGACCGGGGATCCGAACAGACCTACAATGTTCCCCTGGTCCAGCCTGTTGGGGGGGTCGAGGGCATGTCCCCTGACTCCCGGGATCGCACCGCCTTCCTCGGCGTGCTTTCCCGACCAACACCCAGGTGGTTAGTTACCACCGCCGATCACGCGAGAGAAACTGAGCCATATCCTTGCCCTTGTGCCTGACCAACTGCCAACCCTTCTGAGTGCTGAACGTGATACGCTGATTATCGAGCTTGTGAGGAACCTTGTGACTGCTGTTGGATGTCGCCAACCACCCGCTTCAAGTCGCACCACTCCTGCTTGATTGTCCTACATGATCGATCTCCACAGACATTGCTTGTGATCTGTGCTCAGGTGAAAGGTATCTATCCTGATTAAAAGAGAGATATAACCCTGTTTGGAATATGGTACACGTATGGAGAAAGCATTTGGACATCAGAGATAGGTGTGTCGCGCTTCGCTAAACGTGTTCGCGCCCATAGGAAATAAAAAAATAAGTACAGACAAGAAAGAACGCCGCGGGGTTCAGCGGGGAAAGCGTACAATATCACCCCGCGTTGGCGCCCCCAGGGTCACCACTGCTACCACCTTTTCACCAGCCCAGGGCTCCAAACCAACACCTCGGATCGGCACGAAACTTGGCGGGAACTTCGATCAAGTTGTGTAAAACACCGTTGGGAGGTTCATTGGTTTTTTAATGTCGGCAAGGTGGAGAAAGAAAGGGGTACGCTCCAGGAAGGGTTCCAGACGACCTCCAAGGTCGCGCCGACGAGGTCCGGCGACGTCGCCACCCGTATGGCGCTGCGAATGATGCTGGACAACAAGCGGCAGTACCACCCGCTCTACAACCTGGTGCGGAACAAGGGACAGCCTTGATGAAGGGCTGGGAATCGAGAAAGGGGCTGTGCGGACTGGACTCGATCGGCCATGGACTGGCCGCAACCGCGGAGGGCCTGGCTTGGAGGGGGGTGGGAGGACAGTAGTCCAAAGCATTGCTGATCGCCGGGGAGGGGGCGGGGCAAGGGCATGGAATAGACGCGTAGCCATTCAGGATTCGGGAGTCGTAGGCGCGCCTCGCATGCCCTCTTGCAGGACGGAAACGTGCATGCGTGCGTGTGTGTGTGTGTGTGTTTTATTTTCTGTCTGGATGCGGTTGCAGGTAGTTCATGTTTGATACAGGGAGGACCAGTAGTTTGGTGTTTTGTTCGACTTGGTGTTGGGTGGAGTTTCTTTTGTCTTGCGTGTGAGATTCGGTAGATTTGTCGCGCAGGAAGCGAAAAAATGATTATTTCCACCCTCTCCCGGTTAGTCGTGAGTTTTTCTCGTTGTTGACGCTGTTTCGCCACCTGTTTTGTGCGGCAGGGCGGCGAAACCCCGCGTAGGGGACCCGGGGGAAACGCCCCTCCCCAACTTCGCATCGTCGTCCACCGTTAACGTCCGACGTCGAACTGGCAAACGTTTTTCGCACTCATGCACATTCATTCCTATGGTAGCTCGCGGTACGATGTGAGGGTCAAGCATGCGTGCCATCTGGCACCGTCGTATGTATGCCCTTCCAGTTTGTTTTTGTAGGAGTACACTTTTTCTTTTTTTTGCGGAGCCACTGCTGTTGAAAGACAACAAAAGACACTCGATACTGTATTCAAGCGTCGAGTAGCTACATGCCTGCCGAAGCGACAACTCCGGCGCGTTCCGTGCAGCGGCTACACGACCTCCAAAAAAAACACCC